TTGGGATTTAAAATATAAGAAAGCCTGAAAAAATAATTAGACCTTTAATGGGGTCACTTAGAAATTACTCTTTTTTATATCAATCAAATCACTATTCTACGAAACGAAATAATCATTATGTCTATACATAGGTTTGTATGTATTTATATCTAAACATCTCGTTAACATCACACTCGAAATCATATGCCACCAACAGTCGCGCTTAGACGTTAGCTAATCAACGTTAATATAATTTCCGTAGTAAATAAGGATCAGCACGACATTGAGTGTGTCGGTATTAGTATAAAGCCTTGTGCTTATGTATATACACTCATATATTTATATATATTATATATGTACATATATCCTATTTGGTACTCATACAAAGTTTGCGCTTTAAGACTCCTCCCCAAGCTGCAGGACACAACCAACCGTCTGTAGTTAATTTTAAACTGGTGCAACTTTTGTCTATGTGGTWGTTAGGTATCGGGCAAACCAATACACCAAAATATCACAAAAGTCATTTCAATTTAGTTACGAGTCAGTAAATCAACCCCTATCAACATGCCACATACCAAGCGCTTCCAGTTTATGTGAACCGGTGTATAGGTATGAGTAGAAGTGAGTGCTCTTACTGCTTGCGCTGCGAGAGAGTGTTTCACAAAGGTTACGGTGGAGCAAACAGGGAATTTATGCAGATAAAAAATTTCGAATACGTTAGTGGCTGCGGATTTTCGGTTGCAGCAGGCATTTTTAATTTATTTTTATATTTAGTGTGGACTGAGAAAGTGTTATAGTCAAGCTTAGATTTGAAATTGGCTCATACGGTTTTTGTTTCAGACCCATTAAGATATGGTATGGTTAAGGGGTTCTATCCACTTGACTGACAGCAAAAACATGTTTATCGTAACTTTATTTGAAAAGGATTTATTAAATAAGTAAAAAAAAAGTATTTAACTTTTTTTAAAAAAAAAAGTATTTAACTTTTTTTTTGTATATCAGAATATCATTTCTAACCTAAAAAGGTAAGGTGTAATAAGGTACGAAGAACTTCTTTTTGAACGGCTAAAATAACTTTAAGATTTCAATCAGTTGAGCTGACCTAGTTTAAACTCCATACGACCAAATCAGTGTGAGATGGAAGGATGAAGTCAAATGTAGAAATTGTGAGAAAAAGTGAGGAAAGTTCTCTAATTTCCATTCACTTGGG